TATTTCAGATATTTGTATAACAAACCTTTTAAATTCTTCAAAAATATAGCATTTCATCAGTTATTGATGCTTTCTTCTCTTACAGTTTTGGTCTCAAACAATATATGATTTTCATCAACATTTGAGTGTGCTCCGTGTTTAAGAGAAGTTTCAAAGTTGAAACATAATGTTTTAAAGCCTTCATCAATTCTTGTTCTCATCTTTTTAAAATTGAACAAGAATCCAAATTTTTCATATTTTTCAAATGATTTCATCAACATTTGAGTGTGCTCCATATTTAAGAAAAGTTTCAAAGTTGAAACATAATTAAAGGCTTCATTATTTCTTGTTCTCATCTTTTTAAAATTGAACAAAAATCCAAATTTTTCATATTTTTCAAATTATTCAGACCTCAATTGAAGAGATGTTATAGCTTAATCCATAATTTTGATGGAAAAAAAACAGTTATGAGTTTCTCTTCCTCAAGAAGCATCACATTGTCATCAATTTATCCTCCTCTTCGTCAAAATACATTTTCTTTTTTAATGATCCGCTTCCGTTTTTTAGGAAATGTTGGCTTGATATCCATTGACTCCACAATTATTTTAACTTCAGCATTTGCTTCTTCGAAACCTATGTGTATATACTTTTGAAGATATGATACTAACCCTTTTAGTTAAACAAGAGCAACATTCATATCAATATTTGCTGATTGAACTGCTATACTCATCGCATGTATAGCATATAAGAGAACACACCAAATATTCATCTTCCGATTCTATGTTTTGCACTTGCAGTGAGAAATTCGCTACAATCTCCATAATTCATAATTTGCTTCCAAATATTCTAAAATATCTCCTATTTATGGAAAGTGAAATCAAACTGCTCTGATACTTTCAATGTGACTTTCCCAGCGAGTTTTTGATAATTATTTAAGTGTGATAGTTCCTACCATCTCATTAAATAATTATCGTCTAGTTGTAGATGATAAAAAAACATTAGACATAGGATGATTCCAAAGAATGAAATCTTTTAGGTAGATGTTTCTACCACTTCTAAAGTGTTGACGTCATTGTTGAAATGGTGGTAAAATCTATGAAGTATTATATGTACATGTATTATTAGTCTCTTGCTTATTACTTATATTACAAACACATTCATCTTGGATTTTGGTTTGTCATTCATAATGTGAAAATCTTATCATATTACTAAAGTGTTTAGTGGATATATAATTAATAAATGAAACTGTTATCTATGTCGAAAGTATATTATTCACTCTCGACTTTCTTCAGTACGTCAGTATATAAATAGGGTATTAGAAAAGCCAGAACAGCCACTGAGCTAAGTACGTAACAAAACTTATGTATTAGAAAAATAAATTTCAAGAACAATGCACCCTCCCAAATATGTTTCCAAGACAACATGCAAGCATCCATGGGTTTTGCTTGGTTAGATGTTTATAGACACTATTCATTTAACTTTCTATATTTCAAAAGAAAACATATAAACCTGCTTGTTAGTTTCTATTGAAAACATTAAACATGTATGATGTATGGGTGATAAAGTGTCAGCCCAAGTCTTGAAACCCTCTATAAAAAATAAAATGACTGAACCACATATAAGTAAACAATTATTGGTAACTGCTGCTATTATTTACAAAAGTTGAGGTCTGCCATGGTCGGTCTTCTACTGAGAACTCTATACTTTGTTTCATCTAGAATCTCGGGAATGAAGGTGTGCCAAAAAATGATATTAACCCCTAACTTATTTTCAAGGATAATACAAACTTTAAACCCTTTTATATTACCAAAGTTTGAAAATCAAGCTTATGCTTATGTATTTGTAAGGTTTTTGAGATTCAATATAAATATATATTTAGTTAAGATAATATATTCTTCTTCTTATAAAAACAAAATTTTACAATCAAAGTATTTATTGAAACAATAACATAAAAATAATTTAACTAGTGATTACTGATTTTTCAAATTAAGCTTGCGTTCTAAACTCGTCACATAATATAATCTAAAACCGCATTTAAATTTCTATGGGAAGATCTCGTATCCGAAATCCGCAGCTGAAGTCAATAGTCCACATTGGTATCAGGATATTATATATGATGTGTATTATTTGTTGTTGTCTCATGTTTTTTTTGAATTGGTAGTGTCCTATGTTTGTCTCACAATGCACATCTGAAGATGTACGATCAGAGAGCATAGCTGAAGGAGTTCATGAAATATGACATGAACGACTGCAAAAAGGGTATGATGTAGAGCTGAATAGAGTGTATATCAAAATGCGAACAATAGAAGGAAAATTTTTAAGTTAAACTTTGTAAATGCATTTAAAAAGATTAACCAGCTGTATTTCTTGGAAGTTGATCTCATGTATATTGTGTATAATTTAGGGTATATATCCTAAAGGACCCAAAAGACATGGTTAAAAATAATTTTTTTCTTTTGTTGATAAATAAATTCAAAATTTCAACAAAAAAAAAGAACCCAAAAGAAGAAAATGATCAAAAGAAGAAAATTATCAAATGCCATAACACTATAAATATATAAATAAATAATAAAAATAAACTTAAATTATCTTTTAAAGCATTCATTTTAAAACTTTTTCAAATTTTCTTTTCATTTTCTAAAAATTTATTTTAAAATCCACTTTCTGAAAAATATTTTAAATTTTTAATCATAATTTATATATTTAAAAACTTTAAATCTTAATTATATATTTTAAACCTAAACCCTCCCCCCCCCTCCCAAATAAATGTGTTTACCTATATGTAGTCTGATTTATAATATATATATATATTGATAGACTATCAAAATTTATATTTTATGATTACTCAAAAGGTTTTGGCTTCATGAACTAACCAAGTAAGAATTATAGTGTGGACATACGAGAACATATCATCACATGCTCGAGCTTTATAAGGCATTGGTACGAATATTTGAAACATGTGATATAAGAGAAGATATAAAAAGTACAAGATAAAGAACGTGTGAATATGAGGAACGCATGCATACACTGACAACATAAACGACACTTATTTGCTAGTAAGTGACCTCATCTGCCCCATCACGAACTCGTGGGATAAAGATAAGATTAGGAGCTTCCTACCTCAGTATGAGGAACGCATACACTGCATTGTGAGAAGCTCAGCACCTGCACCATATCATCTAGCTTGGATACTAGATAAATCTGGATACTACACTACAAAGATAGAATACAACTTCGGCATGACCAGTAATATTGAGAATGCCGCATCCCTATCTCCATTCAATTGGACCAAGAGCATATGGAACATCAAAACCTCAGCGAAAATTAAAGATTTCCTTTGGAAGCTGGTTCGTAAGGTAATCGTGGTGAGCTCAAATCTGATTGGTCATGGAATACCAGCCTTTAACTGTAAAACCTGCGATGGTATAGAAGATGATCTACATGTGTTTTTGCACTGTAATATCGAAGAAATTGGAGCTTGGCTTCTCTGGTGACAATACCAGGAATTTCAAACACTTTGATGCCTCCCTGATTTCAGTGGCGCCATCATTTACGGTTCTTCAACCAGTGGGCTTGACTATCCCACTGTGGCCGTGGATTTTATGGACACTATGGAAGGCAAGGAATAAGCGTTGTTTTGAAAATATAACTTTTTCTGAAATGGAAATCATCATGAAGGCCATCTCTGATGCGCGGAAATGGCAATTGGCAAAAAACTTATCACCAACGGACAACTTCACGTCTCACTACTTGTCCTCCCAGTGTGCCGCAAAACCTTAGCTTATCATCTGATACACTGATCTGCAATGTAGATGCAGCATGGGACGCTCAAACCGGAAACTTTGGCATTGGATGTATCTTCTCGAATGGCAGCTCTAGTCTCATACTTGAGCCCATCTATTCATCGCGCAACCATGTATCCTCGGCGTTAATGGCTGAAACCATTGCCATCCGTTTGGCAGTTATTTATGTTGTCTCGTTGAATATTAAATCCTTGATGATTCTGTCTGACTCTCTCCTTGGTGAAGCCCTTGAAGGATAGAGGTTCGGTTCCAGCTTTAGTCGATATTTTATTTGACATCTAACACTTTAGTTCTTTGTTCAGTATTATCTCTTTTTCGTATGTATATCGTTTGAGTAACGGAATGGCTGGTTTTGTGGCAAAGTCAGTTCTCTCATTGCTAAATTCCTCCGATCATGGAGTGTAAACTCTTTAGTTATGGAATGCGTGTGTTTGATCCAAAAAAAAAAAAGAGCGTGTGAATAAATTCATCTAATTCAAAGGCCAAAATCGATGACTAGGTTATAGGAAAATAGAAAATGAAAAGGATCTAGGAAAATAGATTGCCTAATCCAATATAGCAAAAGGACATGGTCACAAAACTTTGTTCACATACTTTTCATGAGATATATAATGTATTATGTAAGTAACGTCTGTTCTTAGCGAGATGTTTGATAATCCTATTAGCTTAAATAATATCTATAATGTAAATCAGGATGTAAATCCTTTATTGATAGTCGAGAATGTCGTCAGTCATTCTCATAAGCTAGTTAGATCACCATTAACGGGAGATCTTAGGAAGGGTGCTTAGGTTATTTTTAATTAAAAAATGAAAAATGACAATTATCTCAGGCAACGGTGCTTAATTAGGAGCAGGAAGCGCCCGATCTTAAGGGACACGTGTTACACTTAGAGAAAGTTTGGTGAAACTCCTTTCTCTCTCTCTACAGGGAAATAAACGATTCACTACTCTTTCAAAGACACAGCCTTTCAACACCAAAGCGTCTCTATTTTCTTCTTCTCCATCTTCTTTCTCTTTCATTCTTTCTTAAATCGAGAAATCCTTCAATTATAATTGGATCTGTTCTTCAAGAAGAGGATAGACTCTGTATCTTTTCACAGTGAATCCTTCTTCAGCAACTGGTCTTGGAGTTTTCTACAAGAGAGAAAAGGCGAAGAATTTTGATTCTTTTTTGTATTTGGGGTTTTTGTGTTGTTTTGTGGGAGGGAATGGAGAGAGATGGCAGGTGAAGATTGGATAGAGCTCAAGTTTAGACTCGCTGATGGCACTGACATAGGTCCCATCAACTACAATCAATCTATGATTGTTTCTTCTCTCAAAGAGAAGATCATCTCTCAATCGTCTAAAGGTAACATGTTTCTGCCTTTCTATCATTATGTTTGATTGTATAGAAAGTTAGAAACTCCATAATCTTTGATTCTTGTTTATGCGTTTCCATCACTATATTTGATTTTGTTTCAAAGGTGCATCTATTCTTGTAATTATTACCAAACCTTTATTAGGATTATAGTGTGGTAAGAAGATTGATGACTGAAGTTGTTTATTGCTTTTCATTGTTTAGGTGTTTGGTACTATAATTCACGGCCTTGTTTAGGTGTTTGGTACTATACTACTAAATATTGTGTTGGAACTGCAAATTTTTAAGTGTTTGATTCTTGTTTTTGTAATGATTTAATGTATACCAAACACTTTATTGGCCTAAGTTTAGGTACATGAGCTTTGTAAAGTTTGAGAATTTAACAGGCAAAAGGTAGGTTTATTGTGTGGAATCTGGAAAGAAGATTGGTGTCTGATATTGTTTTGATGGTTTAAATGTTTGTTTGGAATGATTCTACTACTAGTATTTAAGGTTGTGTTGGAAGTGCAGTTTTCAAGTGTTTCTCTTTGTTTTTACAGCCTCAGACAACATTCATAAGACTGTAAATGATGTGAAGCTCATCAATGCTGGAAAATACTTGACAACAATAGGACACTTGCTGAATTCAGACTCCCCGTTGGTGAACTTCCTGGAATGATCATCACTATGCATGTTGTTCTTCGCCTTCCTACTTTAGACAAAAAGAGCAGTAAATGTTTCTTTGCCTTCCTCCTATACTAATATAAAAGTGGGCTTCCTTTGATTTTCTAGCTGCTTGAGATTATGGTATTCAGATTCCAAACTTCCATGTTTTGTATAAATTTTATCTTAATTTTTTTTAAGAATTGTTAAATAAGATACTTACATTGGAGGATAAAATTTTAGAGGTATCTTAAATAAAACTCTTAACACACATTTATTACTAAAAATGATTAAGCACCCCATTAGAAATGCTAGGGATAATCATGATTTTACTTATCTTAAAAGCCGAAAAGGGTATTTGATTAACAATAAAATATCACACACAAAATGTGTATGCATACTTTATCTTCCAAACATACCATAGCATTTTCCAACAACTGTACATTTATGTTTACGATGGAATGGATTCCCCAGTAAAAAAAAAACTTCTTTATATAATAGAATCAGTTTGGAAAGATCAAAAGAGCCAGTATTGACTAGACCGAAGCTACTCAAGGTGAATAAAACGGGGGCGACGGAACCAATGTCGAATTAGAATTTTATCTTTGGGTCTTTGTTTTTTTCTTGGGTGTGGACAGTTGACAGCTTAATTTAAAGAAAAAGAGTAAGAAAATAGAATCTTAGAAGGTGAGACCAGCGAATGTCATGCCACTAATCATGTGCATAATTGTATACCAAATAATCAATCATAGTGCGCCCATGTGACACCCTACTTTCCTACACTATCCCCTCTACCCCACTCACACGTTTTGTAAGATTTTTTCACACAACTCGAATGTTAGTTTTTTTTGTTATTTCTTCTTTTCCAACTCGAATGTTAGTTGATTGTTGAATAACCAAAAACTAACTTGTTTTTCTTGTGTCGACAAAAAAACTTGTTATTCTTGTAAATATTCGTATGACTTTGCAATTTAAGTCATGTTCTTTTTAGCAAATATATAAGATCATGTTTCTTATCTAATGTTACCCATCCCTCTCGTGATTCTCGTCCTCTCGTTTACACACACAACTTATCCCCTTAACACAAAAGCACAACCCAACACAACACTTGACACTCCCTATACACCAAGGCAAACTCCATCTCCCAGTCTAATAAAACACGTTACATCTTTATTGTTGTTATTATTTTACATTTGTTTATTATGAATCCTTTAAACAATATGAGGTGTTCAAAAAAAAATTTTTAACAATATGAGACTTTCCACTATTTATTCACTCACAATATATGTATTTGTTCATTGGCATCATTTACTTAGGTTCATTGATTGGAGGGTCATGTGGTCTATCGAAAGATTAGGATACAATTTTTTCTTTTTACTAAAGTTGTTTAGGGGTTTTACAATTTTAATACGACTTTGTCTAACAATACGTGAGTTCACCCCCGAGATGAATGGTTAAATTCACCTCACTTCTTATAGCCAATAGAAGTACCTTCTCAGATTATTTAAAAAAAAGAAATATATTAAATTAAAAAAACAGTTAGAAAAATTACTGTATGAAAATTCTAACCCTAAACCATAAGCTCAAATTCTAAAAACTAAACCCTAAATTCCTAAACCTAAACGCTAAACCCTTGATTCTAATTCCTAAACCCTAAACCTGGATTCTAGACTCTAAACCATAGATCATAAATTCAAAACCCTAAACCTTAAACCCGAGATCATAAATTTGTAAATAACATTATTCAAATTTACAAAATTTATTTTTTGTTTATACATCTTCTTATTTTTGATATTTTTATGTTTAAAAAACATTTTCAGATAACAACCAAGTATATGTAAGAATTATCTTTCTAAGAAGAATATATAATTTTGATATTTTTATTATTAATTTATAATCGTCCAATATAACATCTAAAGCTAATATTATTAACCGAAAATTGGTTTTTAATTTTAATTATTTAATAAATTATATATAAAAGTGCATTAAGAATTTTATTAATATTAACCAATCTAACTTTTAAGTTACTTGTGTAATATTTTTTTGAAAGTTTAATTGTATAATGTATTCATTATTAATAAATAAATATTTAAAACCACTAAATATTCTATTTTAAATTATTTAAAATTTCTAATTTTAGTTGATTTTATTTAGTTATGTATTTTCGGTTTTTGAATTTGTAACATTGATACTAACAAATATTTTTAGGTAATGACACAATATATATACAAATTATTATTTTGTTTTAAAATTTTTTTTTTAGATTTTGGATAATTCTTCTTATTATTAATTTTAACCATTTATATAACCAGATAAATATTAAATTCATTTTTTTTGGGTAATTTATATAATTTTTTCATTAAGGGTACAAAAGATAATCCTTACTATTATTAATTGTTATCACTTATATAATCAAATAAATTTTAAATTCGTTTTTATATTTTGGGTAATTTATATAAAATTTTCATTAAGGATATAAACGATATTAGCCACTTTAACTTTTAACGTGAAGACTCCGTTGAGAAAAATCACTTTGTAAATAATAGTATAGATTGGTTCACCGTATTCAAACCAGAATACCTCTTGCATTTGTATTCAATCAAATACGGAGTGGAAGCAATTTGACCGCCGAAACACCAAACCAATTAATTTGACAAGTTATCATCGTTACGCCGCGTTGATTTTAGTTTCTTAATATTCGGCGCTTGTCGTCGGTTATTTTAAAATACACAAATCAAATGATAGGCCATTGACTAGATACAATATAGTACTAATTATTTTCAGAAACTTATTTGATCTACTGAAGAGCAAATGACAGTTATCTGGAAATCTGGAGACCGACTCCTATAATATAATTAACATGTTCTTAAGAACCTTAATTATCGATTAGAAGACACTAAGCAAATTTGATTTAACTATAATATTTGTGTTAGTGGATTATTTGTGTGTAACTTGATTTTTAGATAACAATAACAAATTAGGAGGAACGTCAATGTAATAGGTGGCCTTGAATATGTGCTCAATGCAAGACTCCAGCTGTTTTCTTTGCTTTGGAGCAAGAAGAGTTCCAACTATTTTCCACACATGCAAAAAATTGTCATTACGCCTTCTCTAATGCAATTCTATATTTTCAAAAAAATATATTTTTGGTGAAATAATTTGTGTATGCGTATCTCTTTAGACCAAACGATCACTTAAATAATTTGTGCATTTGTAAAAAAAAAAATTTCTCAGAATACATCTACAATCCTACAAAAGATACTTTAATTCACGTTGACAAAAAATACTTTAATTCACATATATTTGTTTTCAAACATAATTACGATTCACATATATTTTTTACCAAACATATATTCACATATATTTGATCAAAAAAAAAGAAATAAATAGAACATCACTTTTCTACTTTTGTCTGTTTCTTTTCATCCATTTTATTATAGTAGAAGATCAATGGCCAAATCAACAGAAAATGGTAGAAGATCCAACATTCCTTGTTTCAGAGCATCCGTAATAGCGGATCTTTGGAGGGAATTCTTAGAGAAATATTAATTTTATAATCAATGGGTCTCATAAACAGTTAAGGATTTTATCCCTAAAATCCTTATGTAAGGATTGATCCTTACACTATTCGCGGGCTCCACTACCCACGTGGCGGTTCGTGACATGTCAGTTTTTTTTTTAAGAAAAAATCTGAAATATCTTTATATAATTCAAAATACCCCTTTTTTCTTCTAAGAATTCCCTCTAAGTATCCGTCATTACGAATGCCCTAAAAAATCTTATTAAATGGGTAGTTAAGTCCACATCCCATTTTGGCAAGATCGATTGTCACACCACAGTTTCTTTTTCCACAAAAAAAATTGAAAGTGAACTTGGAATGTGTTCAATGCCGTAATGTAGGAATTTTTAATCAGAGAAAAGGAAACAACATTTAAGAAAAATCTCTATTAGTAGACTGAGTGATTTTCAGATAAAATATCTCATAACATTTTTTCTTCTTAACATTAATAACTTAAAATACAGAAAGTATATATTAGTCGTATTTTCCCATGATTTGTTTTAAATTTAAATCGTTGTAAAAAATCGTTTCAAATTTTTTTGTTTTCTCAAAAAAAAAAAAAAAAAAGAACATATACGCAAACGTTAAAAAAATCATACTAACATAAACAGAAATAACGCGGATGAATCGTGTGGGACCCCAAAACAGCTACACTGTCCGAAAAATCAATCTCAAAGAAAAAGGATTAAAACATAAACTCAATTAACTCCCTAGTCTCCGTGTCTCCTCTCTCCTCTTGCTTCCTTTTAACATTCTCCTCTCTTCCTCTGCCTTTTTGATTAAGATCCAAAGAAGCAAACATGTCCTCGGCGCCGTCTCCGGGGACTAGTTCGCCACCATCTCCACCATCAAACTCCACAACCACCACTCCTCCTCCAGCCTCTGCTCCTCCTCCCACCACACCCTCTTCTCCTCCGCCGCCGCCATCCACATCTCCTCCTCCGTCTTCTCCCTCTATACCTTCTGCTCCTCCTCCATCTCCACCTGGATCTTCACCTCCTCTTCCTCAGCCGGCTCCACCCGCTCCAACCACGCCGGGATCTCCTCCCGCTCCTATTACTCCTCCTCGAAACCCTCCACCTTCATCCCCAGGACCACCGTCGAATCCCTCAAGCAGAGGCGGAGGCGGAGGAGGAGGATCTCCTGGAACTCCATCTTCTCCTTCTCCGTCAACTCCGTCTTCTTCTTCCGACGGTTTATCAACAGGAGTGGTGGTCGGAATCGCCATCGGAGGAGTCGCTCTGCTTGTGATAGTGACTCTGATTTGTCTCCTTTGTAAGAAGAAACGAAGAAGAGACGAAGAAGATGCTTACTATGTTCCTCCTCCACCTCCTCCTGGTCCCAAAGGTATTCATTTCTTAAAAGAAAGTTAGCAATACTTTAATTTTTTGTCCAAAATGATAAAATTGTGATAAAGGTTCAATTTTTTTTCTTTTTTTTTTTTTGTTAAAATGATATTAATTTGTTATATAAAGTTTCAATCTTCTTGCAATATTGTAGAATCCTATTTTGAGATTTGCAATGTTATTGTGTTTCTTAGCTGGAGGACCTTACGGTGGACATCAGCAACAACAATGGCGGCAACAAAACGCAACACCACCGTCAGATCATGTCGTGACGTCACTACCACCACCACCACCTAAGGCTCCATCTCCACCGCGGCAACCTCCTCCACCTCCTTTCATGAGCAGCAGCGGCGGCTCAGACTACTCGGATCGTCCACCTCTTCCTCCACCGTCTCCAGGGCTTGTGTTAGGCTTCTCCAAAAGCACTTTCACGTACGAGGAGCTAGCAAGAGCCACCAATGGCTTCTCTGAGGCTAATTTATTAGGACAAGGCGGGTTTGGTTACGTGCACAAAGGTGTGTTGCCTGGTGGGAAAGAAGTAGCTGTGAAGCAGTTGAAAGTTGGGAGTGGTCAGGGAGAGAGAGAGTTTCAGGCAGAGGTTGAGATCATTAGCAGAGTTCACCACAGGCATTTGGTTTCTCTTGTTGGTTATTGCATCGCTGGTGCTAAAAGATTACTTGTCTATGAGTTTGTTCCTAACAACAATCTCGAGTTTCACCTCCATGGTTAGACAAATACTTAAACTCTTTCTTGTGTTAGAATATGTTTTGTTTTGCCAATTAGTTAAATATGAATTTGTTTTATAGGTGAAGGACGGCCTACAATGGAATGGAGCACCAGATTGAAGATTGCTCTTGGATCTGCTAAAGGACTTTCATATCTTCATGAAGATTGTAAGTCTGAAAATCTGAAAAAGTTATGTACTAATGTTTGAGATATATTTGTTTATGTGGCATTTGTGTGTTGTAGGCAATCCTAAAATCATTCACCGTGATATCAAGGCTGCAAACATATTGATAGATTTCAAGTTTGAAGCTAAGGTGATGATCTATCTTTTATTCGATATTTTGATGAAGTGTTTTTGTATGTTTGGTTACTGAGAAGGTCTTGTATATGTTTCAGGTTGCTGATTTTGGTCTTGCTAAGATTGCTTCTGATACAAACACTCATGTATCGACACGTGTGATGGGAACCTTTGGGTATTTGGCTCCTGAATACGCTGCAAGCGGAAAGCTCACGGAGAAGTCTGATGTTTTCTCATTTGGGATTGTGCTTTTGGAGCTCATAACCGGACGTCGTCCCGTTGATGCGAACAATGTCTATGTTGATGACAGCTTAGTTGACTGGGTACTTACTTATTATGACTTGCAAACAATCTAATCTTTACAGTTTTGACTGTTGAGTGAATCAAAAATGTGTGAATGGTGGAAACAGGCACGACCATTGCTTAACCGAGCATCTGAGCAAGGAGACTTTGAGGGTTTGGCTGATGCAAAGATGAATAGTGAGTATGACAGAGAGGAGATGGCTCGGATGGTTGCTTGTGCTGCTGCATGTGTTCGCCATTCAGCTCGCCGCAGACCTCGCATGAGCCAGGTAATCTTACTTTGACACCAATCATCTTTTTTCTTCTTAGATGTTGAGTCATTTGGTTTCATCGGTTTTGCTATGTTTCAATTTGGTTTCAAAGAAAAATTTGGTTTGGTTCGGTTCAGATCGGTTTTGCTGCATATTATAGGTATCTAGACAAGACCAGTTGAATAGAAGCTGTCTTGTCATAATTAGCCATATTTTCTTAGCTGCACTTATTATAAATGTTCTCTTTATCTAAGTATAAACCATGCCTAACAATGCCTAATGGAGTGAATGATTTGTGTTTAAAAAACGAGCAGATTGTGCGTGCGTTAGAAGGAAACGTATCACTGTCAGATCTTAACGAAGGGATGAGACCAGGTCAAAGCAATGTATACAGCTCATATGGAGGAAGCACTGATTATGACTCGAGCCAATACAATGAAGACATGAAGAAGTTTAGGAAAATGGCACTTGGAACTCAAGAGCACAACACCACCGGGGAGTACAGTAATCCAACAAGTGACTATGGACTGTACCCATCTGGTTCAAGCAGCGAGGGCCAAACCACACGCGAAATGGAGATGGGGAAGATTAAGAGAACCGGTCAAGGTTATAGTGGACCTTCCCTGTAAACCAGAGAGGAGAGAGATTGAAGGGTTTTTTTTTCATTATTTTTTTAACTGTAAAGATTTGAGGAAATTGCCTTGCTCTAATTAAAACCACTACGATATAAGGTGATAATACGTTTTGAATTGTTTTTTTTTTATATTTGGTTCCTTCTTTAGAAGTTGTGATGTTGATACTAAGATTGAGGACGTTGTGTTGAATACTATTCTTTCATTTCTTCTTATGGGTTTAGGGCTGAAATGTTGATTTTATCCTGTGATGAACTGTTTTGTTGAGTTCTTTGTCCTAGTTTGGTTAAGTTCCAACCATCTGTTCATTGGTACAACTACCCGTAACTCTTGGCCAATCTTGCGTCAGACTCAGCTACCACATTTTCAAAACCTCCTAGCGTAGGTCTGGGTATTCGGTTCGGGTCCAGGTATATCGGATAAATCATTCTTATATCCAATAGATAATTATGAAATTTCAGTTCGGTTTCGGTTCGGTTCCATTTCGGTTTCAGTTCGGTTTTGGTTCCGGGTACCCGTTTTATATATAAATCAAATATATATACAACATAATATATTAGTTAATATGTTAATTTAAATGGTCTAGTATTTACATGCTTACATATTCGTCAATCCAACAAAGTTCGAATTAATAAAGTATTAATTTTATAAATATTTGTCGTGATTTAATATCGAAATACTATATATATTTATAATATAAGAGAATAAATAAAATTTTGATAAAAAAAGAGAATAAATAAAATATGATGTAGTCCGGTGATAAAAATGTACTTACTCTTTGTAATCAACATGGGTTCAAGTGGGACTAATGTCATTTTATCTTATATTATAAATATTGAACTTGTTTTTTTGGATATTCGGGTACCCGTTCGGTTCTCGGTTTGGTTCCGGTTCCGGTTCGGTTTTTCGGGTATAGAAATATATGAACAATTAGGATATTTAAAAATTTCGGTCCGATTTCGGTTTCAGATATTTTGGTTTGGTTCCAATTCAATTTTTCGGTTCCGTTTTTTTTGCCTAGGACTATCCTAGCACTTCCAAGCGTGAGAGGGCATCTAGGATAAGCCTTACTTAGCATCAAACTACTTCACTTTATCTCTCGAAGAGGGCATCCGAGTTGCATTTTGGAAAGCCCCTCCCTCCCTCTGGATGATCAAGAGCATCCGCAACCGTGAGACTCATAGGAGTTCTTAAGAAAAATGATATTTTGGATTTAGTAAGGATATTTCGGATTTTTTTTTTTAAAAAAGAAAAAAAGATGATCATTCGCCGTCTGGCACGTGTCCTGGGGATCCGCAAATAGTGTAAGGATTTGCGAAAAAACAGTCATTATTTAAGGATTTTAAGAATCGAATCTTTAACTTTTTATGGGATTTATTAATTATTTAATTATTATTTTCCCTAAGAATTCCTCCCTAAGGATTCGTGTTGGAAGTGCTCTAATATCTAACAGAAGTGACCAAAACTGTATCAGAAATCAGAAAAATAGCACCAAGCAGACCCGTCCCTTCCCTAAGGCTTGCAAAGCACAAGATTTGGCCCACCAAATAATTTAAAACAATTTAGGCCACATGTTTAAAATATATTCTGGTCAAGGATTTGATATTTTTTGTTATTTTATCCTAATCGTCAAAAGTTCGAAACTTACTAATGTAATATCGAAGGTAATAACACTTTTTGTTTCGCTTTATTAATTTACTAGAAAGGGGCATGTGTGTTGCATTAGTTTTATTTGATGTTTTCATATTTATAAAATATGTTAATAATAATTTATTTTATAGTTTTGTTATTGTTTTTGCATATGTTGTGTAAAATATATTTTAGAAATTAAAAATTCGTTTTTCCATAAAAGTTTCGATTAGTATTTACATTTTAAACACAAATTTTATTTGATGTTTTAATTTTATAGAGGAAATAAATAATAAACTATTTTATATTTTAGGATTACTTTTGTATATGTTGTGTGAGATTTATTTCAGAAGTTAGAATTTGTTTACCCACATAAATATTGGTAAATATTTATATTTTAATAACCATGACATATAAGTGAATTGTTTTTAACTTTGTACCTATTACCAGAGAAAATACTCATACCTAAAAATTTTAACCAAATCCAGTACGAATTAAGAATTAGTATGAAATAAAAATAATAATTGAAAGTTAAATAAGGTCAAGTCAATGACAATATCTTACAATTACCACTTCTTAATTTGTGATGATAATTATTAAAATAAATAAATAAATTATTTTATTATATATTATAATAAAGTTGAAGAAGACGATCTTATAGGTAATTAAGAAATTCATCTAATTTCATTTGTAGTATCTGATATTTAATCTCTACACACTAAATCATAAATTCAGATGTTATGGGGTTTTTTTATGTAGTATTAAAAATAGTATTCAAGTTATAGTATTTCAAACAATTTCTTTAGTTTTTTTCCAGTTTTTGAATTTGTAATTTTTTTTATGTGTACTTAAATTATAAGTATTTTCAAATTACTTGTTTCTCATTTTCTACTATCAATTAGGCCATTTTATTAAATTTTTCTGTTATTAAATAATTTTCTAACTTTATTTTAATGATATATTTTCATAACAACAGTTTAATAAAATAGCTTAGAAATACTATGTATTAAAACACATATGTAATAATATGACGATGAAACATGATTTTTTTTTACTAAACACATAAAAACCATTTTCGTTGATAATAATAATATTTTTATGACCAAGCACAAAAATATACCAAACATGTGTTTGTTTTTGTATGATCAAACACATACAAATACCAATATAAAGAGCAATCACGACAAAATCCTATTTTTGACTTTTTCGTTAATTATTTTTTTTAGTATCCTATTTATCATCATAATTATATTTTAAATTACTACTAATTAATTTTTTAAAATTTTCTTTTTTTCATATGATTTTGAAAAAGAAAACATTATGTTTTCTAACAATTTTTAAAATTAATATCTCCGAATTTTGTTTTTATTATCTTAGTATATTTATATTAAATATAATCATCAGCTTAAGAAGAAAAAGAGAATAAATAATATTTGAAAGAACTATTCTAAGATTTGTTTCTTTTAGGATTTGAAAAGCGACTATTAAAGTCTTTTTTATAATTTTCTTATGATCAATATTTTAGAAAAAAGACAGTTACTATAAAATATTTGTTTTCATTATCTTAGTATCAACTAAAATATTTGTAAAAATCGTTTTCATTATCCTTAAATATAAATTTTGTTAATCATGATTTATTTTAATAAATATATAAAATTTTAAAAAGAAAATTGCGATCAAATAATATTTTCTTTAGGATTTTAGAAAAGACATATTGGTAATAAATAAATTATTTTACGAATATTTTTTCTTAGGATTTGTAGAAATGATCTATAATTAAATACCCTTTATTTATTTTTTTTAAATTCTCAACAACATTTAAAATTAATATTTTTAACATTCGTTCTTTATTATTTTAATATACATTTTTAGAATTTGTATAAAGAACAACAACAATTCAAAAATTTATAAATTCTTTTTTTAAAAAAAAAAATTAATATCTCTAAAATTCATTTATTATTTTAAAATATATATTAAAAATCATCATCAGTTTAAGAAAAAAAGAACATAAACATATTTGAAATATTTATTCTACAAATACTTTTTTTTAGGATTAATTTTAAAAAGTATTAAACATTCTTTAATAGTTTTCTTATGTTCAAGATTTTAAAAACGGACAATTACTATAAAATAGATTTTTTTTCAAATATCTTTTATTCAGAATTTTGGAACAGGAAAATAAGTAATAAATAATTTATTTTACAAATTTTGATTTCTTTGCAATTTATTAAAATAAAATTGTTTAGAAAAAAATGATATTAAAATTTTTAAAACATTATTTTATCTGTTAAATCCTTTTCATTTTTTCGTATATATATTTTGTTAAATATGATATATTTTTACATATATAAAATAGGAAAATTACTATCAAATAATATTTTTTAGGATATTAGAAAAGGAAAATTGATAATAATCTATTTTACAAATATTTTTGTTGTTTTGGATTTGTAAAAAAAGGAAAACTACAATTAAACACTCTTTATTTATTTTTTACTTTTAAACGGTATTTAAAATTATTATTTTTAAAATTACTTTTTATTATTTTAAATCTTTGTGTTTAGAATTTGTAAAAAAGAAAACTACAATTAAAAATATTGAGCTTCTTTTTAATTTTGATTTTAGACAATTTTAAAAATTAATATCTTCGAAATTATTTTTTATCATCTTAGTATATATATTTTTAATCATGAGAATTTTACTACATGCCAAATATTAAAGATAAAATTACTTTCAAATATTGTTTTTGTAAATATATTTTATTTATGATTTTAAAAATGGAAAATTACTGTTACATAATATTTCTAATTATTTTTTTTTTAAAAATCATTTTTATTATCTATATATATATATAGATAGTAATTATGAAATAGTTTAACACATGTCACAATCATAAATATATAATTATCTTGTGTCACAATCTTGTTAATTATTAACTTTGAAGAACCAAACTTTATATAATAAGATTTGTTTATGCTATTTTCTTTTAACCTTCATTTTAACCAAATATTTATTATTCCTCTCATTTGTTCCATATTTTGTACCTTATTTTAGTTTAATTAATGATTTTCAACTTCAACTTTGAAACCCTCTTGAAAAAAATTTCCACCAATATATGTTTAGACTTTTACTATTAATTTCAAAATATTGAAGTGAAGTTAACAGAAAAACAATACAGTGACTGAAGTCTCCAATACATAGAGTAACTAAAACTGATGGAAAGCACAAAACTAAACGGACTATATCATAAATTATCATTGGCTAAACTAAACTTTGTTTAATTCCCTACATATTAATTGAGAAGCATTACAACATGTTTAGGTAGCTACGTGTCATCATGAGAATACTTCTCAAATTTATTAGAATAAAAT